GATATTTCTGTGGTTTGACCTGATATGTGCTTCAGCACTTGGCAGAGTTTGTTTCAGTACTCCAAATAGGGTCCCCCAATACATTTTTGGGTTTCTGAGAAGGTGAGAAACTATATTGTACAATATAGTTCTACTAACAGAGACTCGTGTGGGGGCCCACAAAAGTTGCATTAGTATTCAGGGCCACAGCATAAAAAAGGCTGGGTGTTTTGTTCCATTCAAACTTATTTGTCTTCCTATTTCACAGATTGATGGTATGCCTGCTCTCATGCTCAGATGCTTTCAGAACTTTTTGCGCATTAATCGTTCAGAGTGTCGGCTGTCTACATTGTCTGAGGAAACTGTGGTGCAAGTTGTGATGAAGAAGATCAAAGAAATATCTTGGCAGTCTCGGTCAAGATACTCTCCACTCTGTGCTCTGCTGCCTTTCTTGGGGTCTAAGAAGGTCAGTTTTTATGGTGCACACATCATGTGGCAGCAGATAACCTTTATGATGTCTCATTTGTGAACATTCTACAGTACCTAGATCTGGAATTTCTCTGTATAGAGTTATACCATGTTCACAGATAGCGCTGCCAGGTGAAAACTGATGCAGCATCGTGTCATTCAGACACAGGAATTCCCTGTGGTCACAATATTTTTGTTGTTTAAGTCTGCGAGGCACCTCCTATGGTTGGTAGTCCTACCATAGTCTGCAAAAAAGCTCTGTGAGGAAGATCTCTGTTTGGCTTTTTTGATTAACAAGTCAATGAGTAATTCCTTTTTTCTTGGTGGAAAAACTCTTTAGGCCTTATGCACACTGGGTGTTTGCCCAACATTTCTGAACGGCTTTTCTCCTGGTTGGAGAAAAGCAGCACTAAAAAATATGACCAAAGCCACGTTTTGCAAATGCGTTCAGGCATGTCAGGTATTTAGGCATTCAATATTTTCACCAGAATAAGAATTAATTTAGACCTGTCTACTCATGTTTATATGCTTTTATGCTGATTCAGGAATATTTTGCTGCCTCAGCACTCCTCTCCTGGACATGCAACACGGAGGGGAGTTTAGAGGCAGAAAAAAACATAAAAAAAAATAGGAATGTTTAAACATATAGTGTTTTTATTCCATTTTGTAGCTAACAGATTGAACATACATGACCATAAATTGCTCTTTAGACATTTAACAAAAATATTTCAACAGGGTAGCACAGTGGCTAAGTGGTTATCTCTTCCACCTGGCAGTACTAGGGTCATTGGTTCAAATCCCAACCATGGCACCACCTGCCTGGAGTTTTGCATGTTCTCCCTGTGCCTGCGTGGGTTTTCTCCGGGTACCCCGGTTTTCCCCCACACTCCAAAGACATGCTGGTAGGTTAATTGGCTCCTGTCAAAATTGGCCCTAGTATGTGTATGTATGAATTTGAGTTAGGGATCTTAGATTGTACGCCCCTTGAAGGCAGGGATTGATATGAATTTACAATATATATGTAAAGCGCTGTATAAATTGTTAGCTCCATATAAATACCTTTTAATAAGATAATAAGTGCAGTATTACTCTGAAATTACTATTGGATGCTGATTTAGTAATGACCACATGGGTTTTCATTAGAATGTACATTATTACATATGAGCGTCAACATTGTTTTGTAATTAAATATGTCTTAATTTGTCTTTCTATGTCCTGCAGACGTTAACACTCTACCCTCTGCTCCCAGGCCACTTGTTCTACTGTCTGGTGACAAACTACCTCTGTCCTCCTGCTTCAGACACATACCGCACACTTATCACTCTTCAGAGAGAGGAATGGATTCAAGAGGGCTTGACTGATGAGGAGGAGCTGGCCAAACATTGGGCACAGATTTGGCTCTTACCTCTTAGTGATGCTTTGAGTTCTACAGACTGCAGCCTGCAGAACAACACTGCTACACATCTTCTTCCCTGTACCTTGCGCACTTTTTCTGAATCATTTAATTTGCTGGCTAAGCAGCTTGATGGCTTTGGCCCTCGTCAGCTGCATGCCTGGATCAGCATTGTACGTGCTAAGAAAGCAGTGTTGGGTGGAGTAACCGGTTTAGAAGAAAAGCTACAGTTGTGCCTGGAATCTGCTGATGATGGAGTACGTCTAAGCGCACTTATCTTCCTGTGCTGCAGCCCAAGAAGCAATCAACCCCCTTCCCTTGAGGAGCTTCAGCTACTGAAGAAATATCTACCTTTTAACATGGGTTGTGACAGTCCAGGCTTCCGACAGCAACTGCAAGCAGCCGTACGCAGGGTCCTGGAAAGGCTTCGAGATGCAGCTATGTCATCTCTGCGCAAAGGAAAGAGTCAGGAGGAAAATGTGTCACAAACAATAGGTGTGAACAAATCCCTTCACTTTTTCTGTTTTAGATTTACTAGTGCTTATCTGTGTATATTCACAATGGTTTTTCTGTACTAGGGCCATTTTTTTAATCTGCATTTGCTCCTCACATTGCATACAGGTTATATAGTGTTACGTAACCCTTTAGCCAGGACGTGTTTTACACTTCCAAAAGCATTAGTCACTAGCTGTTGTATAAAGAGAATATTGGCAGAAAATAACAATTATTGAATAATGAAAATGCTGGTGCCAAAACCTAAAATTCAGGATGCACTTGGCTGAAAACCGAAACGGAAAGGTCTGTGTATGTAGGGGTGGGGAGGCTCATTTTTTTTTTTTTTTCACTTTTAATGTGTTTTTTATGATTTTATTGGTATCACATAGGGGACCAATAGTCCCCTATGTGATAGCATACAAGTGACAGGTCCTCTTTTTGTAGGGGTGGGGGGGTGCAGTGTGAGCTAGGAGAGGAGCAGTCTATACAGTGAGGGAGCAGTGTATACAGAGAGGCTCCCTCACTGGCTGCCACTAAATGTCATTGCCGGTTTTTAAATGCAATTGCGGGTTTTTTTTTTCTTCATTATATCTCCGAGAAAGAGCTGTCATTTGCCCCTCCGCTAAAGTAAACAAATAACAATAACCGCTCCTTCTTGGAGCAATATCGAAGCCAGCAATTGCATTTAGAAACCAGCAATGACATATAGCAGCTGTAAGTGAGGGAGCCTTTCTGTATACACTGCTCTCTCACTGTATACACTGCCTTTTTCTGCCGCCCCCCCCCCCTCCCCATCTGCAGTACACACTGTCCCCCAAAAAGCCCCAGCCAAATAGTCCGCCCCTCACTGGGACCGGGTCTCATTATCAGCACCTGTATCTGCTCACTTTTTCCTTTAGTCAAAATGCCGATAGGGCTATTTTCGCCCGCCAAAATTTCGGTGGATCCCTAATTATATGAAAAGCAAATTCCTATTCACTTTGAATGCCCAGTAATGTGCAGATGATTCTCACATGATTGGGTAATTGCAGTGAATATTCACATACTTTATTCAGTGTACAGTGGATTCTCAACTAGTAAATCAGTCCAAATACCTTGTGGTTTAAACAATACCAATTTTCCTGTCTATCTCCTCAATGCTCAGACTTTACAGAATGGCTTTTTCAGCTGAGTGTGTCATCACTGTGCCCTGCTGGGAACTACCAGCGACGATGTAGTGCTCTGCTCAGCCTCTGCTCTCTGCTGGAATGCTGTACTGATTGCTGGAGTCCTGAGAAGAAGAAAGGGCAGCCTCCACGTAAGTGACTGTTATGAGGGGAAAATTGTCTGGTCATAGATAAAAATAGGAATGGTAATATTTATGTATTGTATAGCTTCATTTTACAACTATCCTCAAAAATGCAGAGGAATTTCAGGCAGTGTTCCTGGCATTAGAAATAAAGAGAGTTGCGGACTCAGTAGATCCCTACGTAGTGCTCAAGTGTAGGTACCTTGACCACTGGATCCTCCGCTTTTTTTTTAGCGAGGCATAGTGAAATGAAACCGTTCTTCTCACAGATAGGAGTTCTACATACACAGGGGCTGCTTGATGCTTTAAAAGCATAGTAATAGGACATTGTCTTACTGCCCTCCCATTTCGAATAGCTGATCTATATTTTGTAAATTGTAATGCAATTTCCAAATTGTCAAAATTCATATTTAATCTCCATTGTCTTTACAGAAGACTTGTCGCTATTGTTACAGTATGCGCAGCAGAGAAGATGCTGGAATTTCCTATCCACGCGTAGCATGTATGCACTGTTCGGATGCATGCAGGACAGCACTAATGAGGTATCACCACACTGCTTTGTGGGTGTTTATCCAGCAGAAATTTCTTTTTTACTTGATTCCTTTTTTTCATGCTTTCTGACTTCAGTTATCTATAACCTGTGTGAAAACATGTAGATTTCTCTTTTTGCTTCCTACGGAAAAACCTTCATTCTGTCAAATTAACTGTGTATATAATCGTATATATACACACAATACAAAATTTCCTCAAATTTATCAGCTAGCCAGTACTTCCTGGTTTCACATATATTTACAAATGTATGCCGCTAAAACCTCTTTTTTTTTAAGGCCTTGTTCACACAGGTCTACATCTGTGTAAAGGGCTGTGTTTTCCCAGAGCGGCTACATAGAAACAGACCTGGTCCAAATTTGACAGCCGTGTGGGTGCATGTCCCTAGACCTTCACTGTCTGTCTGTGTGATTGAGGTCTCTAAATACAGTATTTTGTTTTTCTTTGCTGTGTGGCTGTTAAATGTGCTGGAGAAGGTTTTCAGTTATGCTAGTTCGATGAAAAGCCCTTTCCCTGTGCAACTGGTTTTAAATTGATTACAGCAATTGCCATCTTTGTTTTGCTAGTGTTTTCTCTCTCTCTCATAAAAATTAAGTATGTTATGTCATTAAATTCTATTTGGAATAAGATTAGAGATTTCCTTGAACATTAATAGTAATTAATAATTAGACTTTTAAATAAAAGCTTGATACATTACTCCTCCTTTTAGCTGACATCCCTATCCTTTGACGAGAGCAAATGATCTGTTTACTTGTAATAGCTTGAAATGTCTCATATTTTCAACTTCATCCTTTTATTTCTATCATCGTTTCTATACAGATCCGCGAAATGGCATCTGATTTGCTGGTTCGATTTTTCCTGCCTACTTCAGGTTCAGTAACTATCTCACTGTTTGAGCTTGGCCAAGAATACCTTTGCAGCCCACGAGTACCCCTGGCAGAAGCTGGCGCTCTTCTTATGAAGACATTGCTGCAAAGGTATTTAAAGGAAAACTGTTATGGTTTAGGGATCTCATTTTATATATATATTTTTCTAAATTATTAAACTGATTATATTTGATTTTCTTTTGTACTATTGGCATCCAAACTTTGTTCTACAAATCAACGATTGATACAAACTAAAGGTTCCCAGAGCACTGGAAGACAGGTAGAGATAGTACAACAATCTTTTTTGAATCCCCCAGGCGACCAAGTGCATACAGCACTTGGCCCCATTCCCATCCGTCTTGTAGTTACTGAGCATTGTGGTAAAAAAAGTATGCCCCCTCTGCTTTCTGAACACGCTGCTAGCAAGGAGACGAATATATAATTATGTGTAAATGACAGCGACCTTGTGTGTTCTCAGAGCAAAAATAATTCCACTTGTGACAAAAATATGTGAATGAGTTCAGCTGGGACATAAAGTTTCACACAGCGCTGCTCATTCACTTATGTACCTGGTACTGCCGGAGAAAGAAAAATGCTTGTCTGAGCATACTTTGGTAGTCTTGTGTAAGCATCACTGTCATTGCTGTCACTGTATCCAGCTGTGTGTGATCTAGCTTGGGCTTTGCTATCCCTGCTGAGTGACAGGAGAGAAACCCCTGGCAGTGGGTGACCAGGGAGAAATATTGGCAGGAAGGGACAGGGAGGAGGCAGGAATCGGCCCTTCGTACACAAATCACGCTGGCAGTGAAGTTGGTAGAGGGTTGAATGGAACAAGCTGATGCAGGGGAAAGCATAGGGTGGGCAGGGAGGAGGATAGGCAAGAGTGGACAAGGAAGAAGAAAAGGAGGAACTGCCCCAATCGCACTCTATGCAGGAATACTGGTGGACGCAGCAGTACATGATCGGTGTGGTGATCGTGCTAGGAGCAAGTAGATCCTGGAGGACAGAGTACATGACTGTGGGGGGAGAGCAGCATTGGTTGCTGCAGGATTGGTTGCAACTCATCCTGAAAAAGTCTCCCAGAGGTGCTAATATGTTATTTTAAAGTCCCTTTTTTTTTTTTTTTTTTTTTTTTTTTTTTTTGCATGCTCTTATTTAGAACTACAACCCTACGTGCAGTAGGTCTAGGAACAGTTGGACTTCAGTTTTTCAGTTTGTTTGATTGATGGGGAGGACACCTACATACCTGGAGACAAGCATTGTTATTGGTGGGCAGTATGACAAAGAAGCACAGAGGAGAAAAATTATAAAAACAGTCGCAAGATCATGCTATTAGCTCATTTAGCAGAGTAAATACCTTCTTTTAAATCTGCCTAGATATTATCTGGCTTGGTGTGAAGCCAATATAAGTACAGCATGCTGTGTGCATTGGCAGTGCTTTGCAAGCCTGGTCTAAGATAACTGCAGGCATATGTGTGTTTCTGTATACAACAAATATAGTCTACAGTAACTTGCAGCAAGCAATCAGACAAAAAATATCTTTTCAGTAAACTGAAAGCTTATAAAACTGTAGGTCCTTACTCAAAATTGGTACCACATATGTACACAGAGAGAAGAGGGGGCAGGGGCTTCAGTGCTGTGTTGGAACTCCTTTTTTAATCTCACAACCACAGCACTAATTAGTACAAGTGCTACATGTACTTGGTTCCCTGGGGATGCAAAAATGATTTTAAGTTGTAGTGCTAATCCTTTTTAATAAAAAAAAGGCCATATATTAAGTACATGGTAGTTGTTTATAAACATAAGTCATGACTCAAAATATGTCCTGTTGCTACAGCATATTAGTTTCTTTGTACTGCTGTTATTAGTGTAAAGGATAGTTCACCTTTTGACAAAAAAAAATCCACTTTTTTTTTTTTTTTTTTTTTTGCAGGTAAAAAAAAGTGTGCTTTTATTATTTTTTTTTTTTTTTTCTGGAGCCTCTAAAGCATTGCACCAGCGATCAGCAGATCTATGGTGCCATGTAGGTCTCCTGCAGACCTGTCAGTGTACCAGTGTGCCTGTATATCCTATACAGGCAAACAGATACTTACTGACAGGACTCAATGAACTACAACAGCGCACTGGTAGTTCATTGAGAACTACAAGCCAGCAGCTGCAAAGGCTGTTGGAACTTGCAGTGTTCTCATTCACAGAATTTTCTAAGTTCTAACTTTCAGTTTTTTAAAAAGCTGTGACAGCCAGCCGTGGGGAGAAATTCTAGATTCCGGTCTGTTTGCAACATCCTGAATATGGGTGTAACATGCTACGAAAGGTGAACTTATCTTTTAAATTAATGAGGTGAATTTGGAGAAACCTTTATATTGTTATGTAATTTTCTTTGTGCTTTGACTCAGACCAGATGCATCACTGCTGCTGTCAGAAAATGTACCTCTGTCTGCACAGGGGCTAGTGACATACCTGACCAAGATGCTACAGGAGCACTACTGTTGTGCTCAGGAAAACCTTTTAAGAGCAGCAAGTGCAAAGCCCATGCATGGTGAGTCCTGATGTTTGCTATAGCAAAAAACTTCAAAAAGGTGAATTAATGATGAACTACAGGGCAAATGTTAAATAAGACCATTTGTTACCTTTTATGTATTAACTGAAAAATTGTAAGGTAAATAACTGTGGTAAAACTACCAGATACTTGTCTAGACAGTATTTTTTCACAATCCTCTGCACAGCAGGTGTTGGGTACTAGGAGCCAATGGCTAGTGTTTAAGCAGCTGCAGAAAGGGGAGCACAGAGAGGACCTTACCAGTGTTAAGATGCTTAAGCCCTGTACACATGGGCCTAAAATCGACTGAAATTGGCTGGCTCAGCAGGAACTGGCCAACATTTGACTCGTGTGTGCGACTGTTCTACAGAAGCTGGTCTCACCACCGTCTTCTGTTGAACAAGCATGCTGTAAAACCAGCATCTGATCAGCATGGGAGCTAATGGCTGCCAGCGCTAATCAGTGTGTTCTGGTGGTGGACTAACCCCTGTCAGAATACAAAGGCACAGCAGGTAAGATTGCTGCACTAACATGACTTGTGTTAGTACAGCGATCTCTCCTTGAATGAATAAAAAACATCTTGTGTGTATCCAGCAAACAGGCATGTAATATAGAACAATTAGTTAGGAATTTGAACCTGCATGTTGTCTCTTATGTTTTATGTTTGTGAATCACAGCAGAGATTGAACATAATTTCAAAAATGTTTGTAGCTTTAAAAAGTTTACTTTGGTTGTGCACTCTACAACCTTTAAGCCTACTCACAAAATTTCTGTTGCAGTTAAAAAGTTCTAAAATACTCTCAAGGTAGTACAGGTGTCCTTATACTCTGTATACATTTTTTTCCCAGAAATTCTTACCTATGCTGGTGATGTGGCTCAGCGCCTAGCAGCATGTTAAATATATAGTGGCGCTGCAAGGGGAAATAACACATTTTGACTAACATATTCCCAGTCTACCAGCAAGTCGAGTGAAGCTCCTTGCCATGCTCCCTTGAAAACACCCCATTTTTATTTTTTTTTATCTCTGGTGCTTCTCCTCAAGGTTGAAAACATGTTAGCTAGATGTTTTCTTGTAGGAGCAGTAATCCCAAGGCACTGGGAAACACAGCTGCCTTATTATCAGAATGGATAAAAGAACTGTGCCACCTTATGTGAAAGGAATGATTGACTCCTCAATTACATGATCCACAATCTCAGTATAATACCTTTTTGGTGCTCCTTTATTATGTTTTTGGATCGTGTGAACGTTCAATCAATCTTGACAAGCCGGCTTGTCAAGAGTTAGTTTGTGCACCTAGTAGCTGCATTACTTGTGATACACTCTGACCAAGTCATCACTGTGTTAAGTGCAATTTTGGTTTTGTTGAAGGTTCTTTTTGTGCACCATCTAGTGTGTTTGTTTGTTTTTTTTTTTTTTTTTTTTTTTTTAATCTTTAGTTCTTTGGCCCTTGGATAATATACAGAGCTTGTAAGGATAAGTAGTCTAGGTATAGTGACTTTAAAGCATTTAAAGAAGAAATCCGGGCACAAATTATATTTTCCTATTCAGTGGGGCTGTGGCACTGTATGTTAAATGCTCGTTTTTGTCTAGGGGATTATAAAGCTGAGGTATACTTGGCTAATCCACCGATCCTGCGAGAGGAGGACCAGTCCCCACCACTCCTGACCCCCTGCACGCTAGCGGTCTTGTGAATGGGCTGTTCCTAATGTCATCACACCCATAGACTGTTTCCGGACATGAGAACAGCAGGAACAGCCCCCCCCGCTGGACGTGGGGGAGCATGGTTTTACGGGGAATCGGAGGATGGGGTAAGTATAGCTTTTCTCTGAGCCCCTCGACAAAACGAACAGTTAACCCATGCAGTGTGGGCACATCCCCACTGCATGGGAAAATAAAAAATGTATTTGGAGTTCTGCTTTAGAGACTTCTTTGTTGTACATCCCAGGACATGGACTATCTTCATATACATTACAATAAGGTTATGCTGCCATCTTCAGGTGATTGGACAATGGATGAAATAAAAAGACTGAAAACCTGCTCAGGCACAACCCCTCCAAGCTAGGCACACCCTCAGTTTATTTTTGGTGTCTTAGGTGATGGTCATGTCTGTGCAGTCTCTGCACAAATTTATCCTTTTTCGCTGGTTTGTTCTCAAGATTTTCATCCAGAAATAGGAGAATGGTTCTGTCACGTACGGCTTCTGCGCAGTGGGATAAAACCCAGACCCCATACTGAGCACACGGTAATGGCCTGTAATGTTGCTGTTCATCACAGGACTCTGCCAGTCCACAAGGCAATATATAATTGCAAAAGGTCCTGTTATGCAGAGTACTCTACAGGTCCAGAGCGGAGACCCTCAGCAGGCAAGTCGTGTCTCTGGACCTTGTAGCAAAAGCTGTGATAGGTGATGTTTGTACCCCCTGGGGGCTCTGCATCGCAGAGTGCCCTGGTGGTAGCCCTCAGATGCAGGTACCCTGTAGGGGTGGGATGGGTTCCCTAGATCTCTTGGTCCCTTTAGTCTCGCCACATGCTTTTTTGGTGCAGTCTTTTTTTACTTTTTTATTGTCTGTCCCAGCCACCTCAAGCACTACATAACTGAGTTTAGGGCAGTACTGGAGGTGCTTGGCATCAACTAGAGGGACAGACCACTTCCCTCTGCCTCCCTGACAGGGATCTGCACTGCATGCGCAGCATGCAGATTCAACGTGAAACTGGACAGATTCGTATCTAGGACCAGGGACCCTGGAGTGTTCACGGTGGATGTTCTGGTCATGCCATGGGATCAGTTATCCCTAATTTATGCCTTTCTTTGCAAATCTTCTGCCTTGACAGCTACCCTGTGTCCTGTAATGTAGGCCAAGAAAAGTATTCTAAACAAATAATCCAATTTTCCCAATCCTTCATGCTCTTGTTGATCCTTGTTAAAATTTCCTTTTTTTGTTTTTTTTTTTTTCCCTTTATAAATATTTGGAGTGATGACTGTATGCTGTACAAACTAGTGAAAACAACAAAAAAAGTGCTAAAACAATATGAATAATACATAGCAATTGCCAACTGCCATTTTTGACAGTCAGTAATTGCCAGCAGTGGGGGTATCAATGGCTGGACATAAGAGATTTGTCCTAGAAACTTTGTTGGTGTTTTCTAGAATGCTACATCTACATTTTAGGCCCAAAGTGGTTAAAATAACTGCTTGAGGACCACTCGTCCACAGTACGTTGATACACTACTGGTACATCGCTGCCTGCTTTTGGGGTTAGGGGCACGTGCACACGCGTCCCCCCGCCGACACCCACTGTGAATATACACAGCAGGTGTCTGTCAGCAGACCCCAGGCAATGATTCATGGCCGGGACCTGCTGATCTGCTGTCCAAGCAATGTTCTTAATACAGTGACCGTGTATAGTATTATCACTGATCACTGTATTGGTGTTACTAGTGATGTCAGTGGCAGTTAGACCCCCCCCCCCCCCCCCCCCCCCCCCCCCCCCCCCCCCCCCCTCCCCAGCCTCAGTTAGTGTCAGATCGCCCACCGCAGTATCACGGTCCCATTATAAGCCCCTGATCACCACCATTAGTAGTATAAAAAGTAAATAAATAAAAATTCCAATATACATCCTATAGATGCTATAACTGTCATGCAAACCAATCGATATACACTTATTGGGATGTTTTTTTTTTTAATTTCTGGTCATTTTGTTTATAAAATAAATAAAAACCCCAGTGGTAATCTCCACGAGCAGGGCCATCATATTCCTTCTGTACTGAAACGTATTGTAATTGTACTGTCTCCCTTTTATCTTAGAGCGCTCCATAAACTGTTGGCGCTATATAAATCCTGTATAATAATAATAATCAAATACCACCCAAAAAGAAAACTCTAATTGTGTGAAAAAAAATATATATAAATCTAGTTTGGTAATTGCGCGGTTATGCAGTGCTTTACGCAGTTAAAGTAGCGCAGTGCTAAATAGCAAGAAATGCCCTGGTCATGAAGGGGGTAAAACCTTCTGGAGCTGAAGTGGTTAACCACTTACTATCCAGGGTAATTTTTTTTTTTAATTTTTCACACACGTTAAAATCAGCATTTTTTGCTAGAAAATTACTTTGAAACACTCCCTAAGCATTCTATTTTTTGAAAGCATAGGACCTTGAGAACAAAATGGTGGTTGATTTATTTTTTTTATGCCACATGATATTTGAGCGGCTTTTTATTAACCGCAAATTTTCAGGAAAGAATACACTAAAACCAATTTTAGTCCACAGAAGCATATTATAATACCCAATTTGGTATTGGTAAAAAGTAAATAAAATCACGTAAAAGTGATTGAGGAGCTGTAAAGCTGCCCAGGTCACTTTTACTGAACAGCCAATCGCCAGCTGTAAAAAAAAAAAAAAAAAAAAAACACACTGCAGCTACATCTATGAGTTTGTTATAGCTGCTTGCTGACTGGACATTTTTTCATGCTCAACAATGAGCAGGTGGTTGACATTGATGAACAGACTATATTAAATATAAAGTACTGATAGAATGCATGTGGAAAGCCAGCAACATGATCATTCAGATGGCTTGAGGAGTTTTTAGAACATTGCTTAATTCTTATGTTTCTATTGATTTAAAAAAAAAAAAAAATTCTAATTTCTATTTATTTATTTTTTTACTAAATGGGGATATGTCATTTAATCAAGCTAAATATGTATATTCTCCTGTATCTGCATACTGATTTGAATGATGACTGTATTTCATGTAAGAAATTGTACCCAAAAATTTAAGTGATCTTGATCTTTTCAAACATTTTATTGGTTTCAAACTGTTTCCTAAAATATACTGATAGGATAGTGGAATTATATAGCACGATTATTTCACTGCTATACACGTGTTCTATTTTGTCATCAGGTGTACTGTGTGCTTTGAGGTTATGTCTGTTGGAGGTATCTTCTGTCTCACTGTCGATTTCCCAGGCTGAGCTTGCCTCTACTTGGTGCAGTCTA